AGGGGGGGGGGAGGGGGGGGGAGAAAGGAAAGAGGGAAGGAAGGATATTCTTTCTATTCATTCTATTCAAATATTCAAAGAAAAAAAATCAGGTATACAGTTGGCCTTATGTATCCATGTGTTTCCGTAATAGCAGATTCAATTAATTGTGGATTGAAAATATTTGGAAAAAATAACAATATAACAATAAAAAAATACAAAACAACTATATAGTATAACAATTATTTGTATAGCGTTTATATTGTATCAGGTATTATAAGTAACCTAGAGATGATTTAAAGTACACAGGAGGATGTGTGTAGGTTATATGCAAATACTAGGCCATTTTATATAAGGGACTTGAGCACTTGTGGATTTTTATACCCAAGGGGGTTCCTGGAACCAATCCCCCAAGGATACCTAGGAACTACTGTATAAATAAGGAATTGATGAGACCAAAGATTTTTTTTTAACATCTCATAGGGTAGAATTTGACTACAAATTCAGCATAAGTAAACAATTTGACAAGGTTGCCTAAGAAGTTAATACCATCTTAGAATGCGAGTTTCCCTCTTGGCTTAAGGAGATAACAGTCTTTGGGTCAAGTGATCTGGCCACATGTACAGAACAGGTATTTTAAGACTGACATTAGGGCGGATATCTGTGGTGCTTGGCCCCTTGGCATTTTTTTGGGTAGTAACACACCATGGGGTGGTACCATCTTTCAGTAGTAAAATCTGTCCTGGGTACCATGAGACAGGACTCTCAAGTTTGTGCCTAACTCAGGTCCTCACCAACTCAACACCCTGACAGCAAGGACTCAGGCCACTTCTGCCTCCCCTCACAGGACTGAAAACAGTGTTAGGTACATTGTGGGCACTCAACAAGTGCCTGTTGGATTTTCAGGGAAATCTGCATTGAGGCCGTTTCTACATTGAGAAGCTAAGAAGGAAAGAAAAATGACTATACCATTTAGACCAGTGATTTCCAAACTGTGGGTCACAACTCATTAATAAAGTTTGGGTAGTTTAGTAAGTCCATAACCAATATTTTTGTCTTGAGAAAATGAGAAAAAAAAAGAAGAAGAAATCTTCAGGGTGCTCCTCTCCTGTTTTGTAGAGCTACATTACCAACCCCTGAATTCAAAGTCTCCACTGACTCTGTGCCTGCACTCACCACTGAACATGGCTGAAGAAAGTCACACCCACACCCACTGGTCTTCCTGTAATTTGTTTCCATGATCTTGACTGGGTACATATGCTGGTCATTACGCTTCATCCTGGCCCTGCCACCTTCCAAGACAACCACCCTCTCCCATCCTCCAGGTCCTCCCCTCCCATCCTCACTCTCAGCACCTCACCTGGCTTCCTACCACACTGAGAAAACCGAAGTACTTAGAAAAGAACTGCCACAGTCTCCTACCTCCACTTCTGCCACCCACCAGCATCTGTTCCCATTGACTCTGCCTTCCCCCCTTTCTATGGAGAGACCATCCTTGCTACTGGAGAAGGTCAGCCTCTCCACCTATATACACTGGATTCCACCCGCTCCCACTCAAGGACATGGCCCCAGCAACCTTCTTCCTCCCTCTTACATGAGCAAAATTCTCCTTCTCTAGCAGATTATTTCCCTTGGCATGTTATTTCTCCCACCTAAAACAAACCTTTCTCACTCTACTTTCCCTCCAGTTACCAATCCATTTGTCTGCTCCCCCATATAATAAAACTCCTTGCAAGAACTGTCAATACTGCTTTGCCAAATTCTCTTTTTCTCATTTCTCTTTTATACTCCCTTCAGTCAGATGATTGCCTTCATCACTCCACCAGAATTGCTCTTGGCAAAGTCACCAGGAACATCCACACAGCTACATCCAACTCCCAATGCTCAGTGTTCATCCTACTTATCCCTGGACATGGTTTCTCTCTTCCTTCTCCTTGAAACACTTGCATCACTTGGTTTTCAGGCCACCACTCTCTTCCAGCTTTCCTCCTTATCTCATGGCCATTCCTTCTCATTCTCCTTTATGGACTCCTCCTGAGTCCATATTAGATCCTCCTGATCTCCCCAACCTCCTAATTCTGGAGGGCCCACGGCTCAGCATTTGGGTCTTCTCTGCCTGCCCTGCTCCCCTGGTGTTCTCATCCAGTTTCTTGATTTTAAATTCCATATGTCCACTGATTCTCAAATTTCTATCTCCAGCTAGAACTTCTGTCTCAATTCCAGACTCATACATCCAATATCTTCTCATCCTTCCCAACCTGCGTAGACATCCTGATATTCTTTACCCCAAAATCTGTTCCTCTGTAAAGCTTTTCCCATCCCAATTGCTGGAAACCCAGCCCTTCCTGTTGCTCAAGCCCCAAACCTCAAACGCATCGTTTCCTCCTTTCCTTCGCACTTCGATTCTAATCCACTAGAACATTCTGTTTGGCTCTGTCTTCAGAATACACCCAGAATCCAACAACTTCTCACCACCTTCAGCAATACCCCCATACTCTAGGTCACCATCATTTTTTTTTTTTGCCTTGATTACATTACCTTGCTCCCTTACTGTCTGTCCTCAACACAGCAATCAAAGCGAATCTATTAAAACATACACCAGATCAAGACGTCCCTCTGCTCAGAACCTCAGGTGGCTTCCAGCACACTCACTTCTATGCAAAATCTTAACAGGATGCTTTCAAGTCTCATCAATCTTGCCCCCTTCTGCCATTAGGGTTACAGAGATGCCACTTGCTCACAGCTCAATGAATAGATGTCATTGATATGACAATCTGTTTATTAGGAACTGTGATAGCCAGCTAATCATTTCATTCATAAACCACCAACTAGCCCTCATCCTGGAATCCTTTTGACTAATTCAAGTCAGGTGTGATCCTGTGACCTTCAGGTGAGCAGTGGGATATCCAGTATGCCACCCCTGGAGCCTCTGGCTTTAGAGTCCTGATGTTTTGTGATATTCCCTTCCCTGAAAAATCTCCAGTCACCCAACTCCATGCAGGTGCATGCCTAAAATCTGTAGCTGCAGCAGCTCCTGCTGGTATCAGTGCAGCTGTTTCTTTTCATGAGCCTCTTTTGTGCACTGACATATCTGAAAAAAAAGAGGTGGGGGGGATGTATTGAATTTCAGGAGATAAACCAGCTGGCTTAAGACAGAGGAGGAAGAAAAAGATGACACGGTCAGTGGGACACTTTTCATGAGAACGTATTTCCAGAAATCCGGGTCCATGTGGGGTATTACACAGTGTTAATCTTGCCTCTGAGATATGGATTAAGGAGATTCTGCCCATAAAGATGCATGCTTTTCGAATATTCCTCCGAGTCTGGAATGTAGAGCCAGCTTAGGAGCTCAGAATCTGAACACTGTCACTGTAGCCTGCTCTCCAGTTTCAAATTCACTTTGCCTTGTTTCCTGTTTTAATTTTTATTTTTTCCAGGTGTGGTGATTGGTTAAGTGGCCACAACATACTGTTATTTAACATCAGTGCCGACTGCTCGAGGATTCAGTTAGCTAAATTGGCACTGGGGCCAACGTGTGACTTTTTGACCCTGTAATTGCAAATATGGAGCTGTTTGTTTTTTCAGAAGTGTCTAAAACATGTGGAACAGGTATAAAGTTTCCACATGAGCCAACCTCTTTGGTTTGCTCTGATTTAAACAAACTGCTTCCCACAGCTGTGCCAAGAATATTCTTTCCAGTCCCATCTTTTTGAGCAATCCCAAGCTCAGAGCTTTCCACAATGGAATTTTACCATGTCTCAGATGTGGCAAAATCTTAAACCAACACTTCTCCATGCCAGAATAATAGCAACCTAGCTCAGGAAGAAATCAAAGCTGCATTTCTACTAAACAAGATTATTAACATGGTAGAAAGAGGAGACCATTTTGTTAATGATCAAATATACAGGCTTCAGCCAATTAAAGCTTTGAAGCAAATAATCGTAGATAGGATCCCTCACTGCAGCTAATCATTACAGCAAATGACATTTGAAATCTTTTTTCCTCCTAACTGTAGGAATTGAACATTAAAACAAGTTGCCAGCACAGCAGTTGATCTTTTGAGCTCAAAGTGCACTTGCTCCCAATTGCAGAGCCTTGAACTCAATTGGGACAATGCCTTCTTCTGCCCAAATGAGCTAAAAGTAAGTTGCAGTGAAATTTCCTAATGTAGTGTATGCTAGTGACAAACACTGAGTCCTGCCAAAGCTGCAGGGAACAGAGTTGGGCGCTGGAGTAAAGCAAGCTCCAAAAACCTGTCTCACTTCTTGTCTGGAATTACTTGCCCATTCCTGAGTCAGTTGGCCCAAGTGGTGTACATGAGCTAACCAAGAAACCAAGGTTTCTGACGGCCAGTTAGCTCTGCTGGGGTCTTAAGGTCTCAGATTGCACCCCTCACTTGGTCATTCACCCATTTAAAATGCAAGCTCCTTCTCCCCATGGAGCAACCAGCCTGCAGTGCATGAGGGAAAAAATTCTCTACCTTTGCTAAAACAGTTCATGGGTTTTTGCTAGAGATAGACTGGGATCTTGTCATCATCAGAAAATGGAAAGAAGAGAAGGCTGCTGTGGATTCCAGAGTGGTGAATAGATTATGGGGTGAATATCCCATTCAAAAAGGGCCCTATTTTTCACATTTAATACAATAGGTATGCATATATACCTAACAATTATTCATGTTTAATATCATAATAAACCCTGGCATTTTATAATACTTTGCAATCTACAAAACACATCCACACATGTCAATATTTCTTAATCCTATTAGATGGTAAATTAGGCATTGTTACTCTACCTTATAGATTAAAAAAAAAAAGCTGAAGCTCAAAGAGATCAAGTAATTTCCCCAACATTACTCTGTGAAGCAATTAGAGAACTCCCAAGTCCCATCCAGACTTCCTAACTCCCAGGTGCTCACCTCGACACATACTGTTTCCTGGATGAATAGATTTTCACACCTGCCCCTAGAGAAATATCAAAAAGTTCAAAGTTGCAACTCTGATCAATTTCATGTGTGCAGATAAAATAGAACACATGTATCTACAAGGGGAGGAAATATGGATTTCCCCTCCCTTATCCCCCACCCCAACTAAGCACAACTGTGTCCATATGCCTATGACCAAAACAACTAAATTCTCCATTACACTGGTCCTTCTCACCAGCCACTTAAGGATCGCTTAAGAACTAAATCGTTTTTGCGACCCTTCCTCCCTCACCCAAATGCTACCTGTACTCCCTAGAGCAGAAGCCCCTTATGGGAGGGAACTCATGATGGTCTGCTGTGCCTAGGAAGGCTCATTTCACTTAGTGATGGTCCATTAAATGT